TATATATATATATATATATTATGTGGAATTTTTTAAATATTAGCCCAGCTTAAATTTTTTTTTAGTCTGGTCCAGGTTCCACCTGATCCAATCTATTACGAGTCATGTGATTTTAAATGAATAATTTGTCTTATCTCTAGCAAATTAAGCTTCCAAATAAAATAGTTCAACATAATCGACATGAAATTTCTCATATGTTTTGAACCAACAAATATGTGAATGCAATAACGTATGAGAAAGGTTTGATTTTTGAGACTTGACTTACATAGACCAATTATAGGAGGCAAATTCGCAAGCTTTGCATAACTAATCCCCTGCATCAATGACAAGTTGAGTCATTCAGAGTTCAAAGAAAACTAGAAAAAAAAATTGTACTCGAAATTCTCGATAAATTTGGGGTCGACAGTATGACTCTATTTTTGAACTTTGTATCAAACTTGTCCTTACAATCATAAACTAACACGCAATGCTAAGACCGTATAGGGTATGTTTGGCAAGCATCATTCAACCGAACCGGACAATGTCCCATCGACCATCTCTCTACCAAATAAGAGAGTAACGTTGAGGATGGATAGATTTACCTGTGGAATTGCAAGGCTTGCAATTGTAAGCCCAGAAACGACATCAGATCTCAAAAGCTTGAAATTATAATTAGTTGCCCACTGGAAAATTGGGAAGAAATACTGGAGTCCAAGAAGTAATTTTCTAAACCATGTTTGGCTCTTGAATCTGTGAAGTGGATCATCGGGGAAAAATATTTCCGAGAGCCTCTGCCGGAGTTTCTGAAGGGTGGTTCTGTGCGGTGGCAAGCATACTTCATGGGTTTCCAACGGCGGCATTGCATCTCCAGAAATAGCTATGGTGGTCGTGGTTCCACCGCCGGAGAAGTGCTCCACTCTGTTGGAATTCAAAACCATTGTTGCAGAGATTAAACCACCCGATGAACTAATGAGTGGTTTAAAGATGTAGAATTTGTGAATTACGGTTTAAAGATTACAGTTTGGAGGCAGTTGTCCAGTTTGATTGTAAGACAATATTATGGCCTTTTTATAGTGCCAGATTTTGCATGGTTCTCTCACCCCACCCCTACGCACTCCCCATACCGCCACCATTTATCTTTGGCATATAATTTTCTTCACTTTAATTTCAAAATACTATAAATGGTGGTAAGTGGTAACTAGTGGTAAGTGGTAACCACGCGAAACAGTAAATAAGAATGCGAAGAGACAGCACCATAGTTATGGTGTACCAAGTCTTCAACATATGTATTGCATGTTCCACCGTCCGTCGAAAACACGTTTTGAACTCTCGCGAACCTCGACTAGTGCTTTTAAAGAAGTGCTTGGTACACAGTATTAAGTTCATGTTTGATTTTGCTAAAAATTAGATTTTTAATGAATTTTTCAACCATACATTTTATTAAAATCTATTAAATGTCTGATATTTAACTAAGTCAAACAGACTCTTGGTATATATAATTTGAACTACTTGCCAAAGGAAGATATGACATCTTCGTTTTATCAATTTCATTGACAATATTGATAAAATTTTGGAACATGTTAAAGATTTGTAAACATCTATATTATCATTTTCAAAAAATAATTGTTGGAGAAATCTTCAAAATTAATCAAGATATATAGATTTTGTCGTATCTTGATTAGTCATTTATCGAATGTATATTTTGACTAGACACGATTGAACATAATTTGAAACGAAAAACATATCATAATCATAAACTTTGTTGGTTATTTATTTTAATTCAACTTATGATAGCGTGTATCATTTCATTAAAAATTGCTTTAGAATTTCGTCATTCTATTCGATTAATCTGTGGTTCGTAATATATTCCAATTGACTTAGAGGATTTATTTAATTATACTTTTTTGCTCAAACTTTGGCTCTTCATCTAAACCAAAAATGGGAGAATTTTTTAGTCCTCGCAAAGCATTATGGGCATACAATTCGAGTCGACCAAATTGTGCCTGTTTCATCTTTAGAAATATTCTAAAAAACTGTAATTTTCTTAAATATTCTCTCTTTAAAATATGATTTTTTGTGGTGTACTAATCTATTTTAATTTATTTTTTATTATATTGGAATTTTTTCTTTAAAATATGATTTCTTGTGGCGTACTAATCCATTTCAATTTATTTTTTATTATATTGGAATTTTCGGTAGATGTAACTTTAGATTAATAGAGAGAGGGGCAAATTATGTATATGTAGCAATAAATTTTTAAGAATTAATAAAATTTATTTTGTTATAAAAAATCAAGATAGTGAGATTTTTTTTGGCTGGGTTTGTCGTGACCGTGGAGTACTTGCAAGGGACCAATCAAATTAAGTGCCTGTTTGTCAACCATTATTGAGAAGAAAATGGTGTAATGAATAGTATTTTTTGGAAAATGTATGGTTGAAATTGAAAGAAACTTTATCGGTTTATGTGTAGAGTATTTTATTATTTGAATGTGTGGTACAGATTGATTATTGTAGAAAATAATTTTTTGAAAAATGGTAGACAAATAGGGGCTAAGTTGCATTCATCTTGTCTTGTCAATTGAATGAGAATAGTTATTGCAATTTTTTTTTTTAATCTTAAGATCCGTTTGATTGTAAGAGTGAAATTTAGATGGAAAGAAAATGAATTTCAAAAAATTAAATTGCCCATAATTGTTTTCCTGGGAATTGTCAATTAATTGTGTTTGATTGGTACAATTTTTAACGTGAAAAATATTTAAATTTTAAATCTTTTGGTGTTCGTTTGACTTTGTTTTTTATAAAAATTGTCCATTAAAGAGAATTTTTTTTTTTTTTTACAATTGGTGATAAAATTTGTATCCATTGCCAAAAAAATAATAAAAAAAACCTGGAAACATNTTCAGATATAAACAATAAATAATTCTCTAATTTTTAAAGAGTTAACGAAGTGATCACTATCAATTATAAAAATTTTACGAAAAAGTTTTAATGGGGTTCTCAACCCAATTATGTTACTTGTACAATTTTATTTGACAATTCACATTTAACAATATCACATTCATCCATTTCAAAAATTATTTTTAAAATCAACGGTCCGAATTTTGACTATACCAAAGTTGTGAATCATAAATGGCAAGCATGATTTTACAACGGAGCTCGTTCCATGTACATCAAGATTTACATAAGGTCAAATCATATGTCAATTTTAAATACAATCAACTTTTTTATCCAATCTTTTCCTTGCACATCATATTTTGTATTTATTATATACATTTTTTTTAATGTACAAATAGCAAAATTATTGTACAAATAGGTTAATTCTTCTCAACCATGCATAATGCAGTATTCGAATCGCCAATCTTTTAAGTTTTTCTAACAATTGAATTCTCATAAACGATGTTTATCAATATATGGCAATTCAAGTATCATACTCGTGAAACAACATCTTAGGAATTCGTAAACCCCCTCTAACTTCCAGTACCTCGTCTCTATCTTGCCTAATCTATTTCCTCATTCTCCATTCCCCATGTCTGATCTTCTCCTCTTCTCGACTACTCTCTATTTAGAAGTACGGCACAACATTCCTTCTAACAAATATACAACTGTTGAACATTCAAATAGGTTCAAATACTATCAAAATGGAAAGGCTGGAGACTTGGGGCATATTCTCTTTGCTGTTTTCAAACTGTTTTCTATTTTCGATTTTCAAAATAGTGAAAACGCATTCTCATTCCTATTTTCGAAAACGCGTTTTTGAAAATAAGTTTAAAATTTACAAAGAGAACCCAAAACGACAAATTTGTTGTTTTGGATGTTTTCACTTATAACTTGGCCAAAATTTTCAAAACGCATTTTCTTTGTTTTTAATTACTATCGCCCTCAACCACCACCATTGCCACCTGCAAAACACCACCAACCGCCGCCCTAACATCACCCCAACCACCACCATCGCCGGAACCACCACCATAGCCACAACATCACCCCACCTTACGTCACTGTCGCCAGAACCACCACCACAAAAACAGCCACCACATAATACACCACCACCACACAATCGTTAGATCACCAACAACATCCACCACCACAAAAATCGTCACCACACGTTGCCCCCACCATCATCATCACCAACCACAGTCACCATCACCACAAATTTTCAATTTCAACCCTAAGTTTACCCATAAAATTAGCGAGCTGTGGTTGAAATTGGGCTTGACCCATGATTGGGTTAGGTGCGTCAGAGGGAAAGGAAGGTGACCCATGTGGTTCGTGACCATGGATTGAATTGAAGTAGCCAGAATCATAGATTTTTTCGGACTGCGCGAAACGGGATCACGACTCTCATTTCGATTAATTGTTGTTTGGACTAAATTGAGGGCTATTTGTGAGTCACCCAGAGGTGGGCAATCGGCCGGTGGTGATTCGCGATGAAGACGGTGGCCGGATGATGGGGTTTCGGTAAGTTACAAAGACAAAGAGGAGGGAAGAAGAGAGAGAGATAGAGTGACGAGTGAGAAAATTCATCAGAGAAAGTGAATGCATGTTGGGATTTTTTATTTTTCAAAACAATTTTTAAAAATGGCAAATTTCAGGGGATAAAGTAAATACATTTTGGGATTTTGTATTTTTCAAAACAATTTTTAAAAATGGCAAAAAAGAACACGTTTTTAACAATCTCAAAATGGACACTCAAAACACAAAACTCAAAATGAATTCAAAACTAAAAACACGAAACTGAAATACGAAGAGAACAACCCCTTAGATACCAAAAAAATGCATAGGTTAGGACTCCACTTTCGAATTTTCCCATCCACGAAGAATCTATGACAGTCAATGATTTTGCCAGTTGAACACCAATTGTTCACTACTTAGAATAAATCCTGAGAACGCTGATATGTTACAGGAGAAGAATATCTGCTGGTGCCTCTTTTTTACATCTTTTTATGTTAACCTTTCTTTTTGGGAAGTACAGTGGGTGGGGAATGGAAGCACACAACATAAGTCAGTCAATGTGAGAATCATGTTCACGTTAATGTGAGAATTATGTTCACTATACATATAGACTAGTCCTGTTTGACAATCATTATTCAAATTTTTTCTCTATTTACTCATTTTTAACCACTCAATCACACAATAAAATATTTTGCATGTAAATCCAAAATTTTTCCTTATTTTTTAACCACACCATCTCCAAAAATTTACTATTCAAAACTTTGTTTTTGGATTTTAAAGGCCATCATACAGGGGCTTGTCGCAACTAAAAATCAGATTTTTAGTAATTTTTTATATAAATTGATTAGATATGTGGTTGAAAAGTTGTGGATCCATGAAACCTGTGATTATAATTAATTGTTGACTATAACTCAAATTTTTATCAAAGTTTTAAGTCACACTAAGTAGGGCATAGTCACTAGGTTTTCATGTATGGAGGAGAATAATACAAGGTTTTCTTCACGTCTCTCCCAAGAAAAACCTTATAAGAATGTTACGTCAAGCAGTCCAACATGAGAATCCAAACATACAAGGGACAACGACTATCCAACATACGCGGCTAATGGTGGATGCTTTTGAGAGTGACCTGCATTAGAATGTAATATAAAGAAGGTGAAACAACCACCTTGGATGGACCAGATTTAATTATCCGTGTCAAAAAGCCACTTTTTCCCATAAGAATTATATGGCCTCTCCTTTATGTTCTGAAATGTAATAGTTCAAGAATTAAGATATATGGAACAGATTCACATGTCATTCAATTGCTTGCAGCGACTAGTTTCAATGCAGATATTCTTTGAATGGTTAATTTCTGGGGTCAGGGTTTAGACAACTCAATAATTCTGTATGCTTATTTCAACAGCAAAAAAAAAAAAAAAAAAAAAGAATATATTTTTCTCTTCGACTATAGATCTAAAATATTGTGAATTAAACTTTTAGACACGGAAATT